CAGGGGGCCATGCTGAGCCCAGCCACCCCCTGCCAGCGCGGTGGCAGCCCGGGGAGGATGTCTGTCCGTCTGTAGCCCGAGGGGCATCGTCCCCTTGCGCGGTTGCACAAGCAGCCCACGCGCCAGATGTCCCAGCAGCAAAGCAAAACAAACAAACAACAATTACAGCTCTTGGGTTTCCTCCTTTTGACTCATTACAGTTTAATTTTGGAAACCTGGCTCTCGGTTGCAACGAGTTTGCTGGTGGGAGAAAACCCACTGCTGGCTCAGCCAGACCGGCAGCCTCCTGTGCTCAGGGCTGAAGTTTTATTCCCATTTTTGAAAAATTTGGGTAATGCAGTTTTGTTGAAGACCACGAAGCTCACAGCAAAAGTTGTGGCCAAGCGAAGTACTCTGCAAAGAGCTTTGGGGGCGAGGGGGACAGGCGGGCACTGGGGGACATGGGTGCTGGGGGACCCTTACCTTGCACCGCAGGGTTGCGCACTTGGGATGGCGTGTCGTGGATCTCCAGGGTCCACTCCCCCGCCGCCCTCTCCCCCCAGCAGTGGACAGTCATGAACTCCCAGCCTTTGAACCCCTCGTTGGAGTTGTCGAACAACCTGCAATGGTAATGCCGTGCATCAAGAAGCGTGACTTTGAATGCCTTATTTAATCAGAAAAGGTAGATAGGCAATTGAGGATTTTAGGGATCCTTGCATGCACCCACCTTTGCATGGTGCCCTCCTGTAGCTGAGACCCAAGCGTGCCCCTTGCCTTCCCCAAAAACCCAAGGAAACTTGCAGCAACCCCCTAAACAAGGATGCTGCCCAGCCCAGATGTGTGCTGGCTCTTGGCCGCTCTTACCTCCTGGCGAGGAGCTGTGACCTGGTCCCTGCTGGAGAGACCAGGCTGATCTGGAGGTCACCCCGGCGTGGGTGTGAAATGCTGAGCCGCACCACGACGTGCTCCAAGTAGATCACGTGCTGGTCGCGGTGCTCAGCGCAGGCACTGCTGAGGGTGCTGGCGCGCAGCACGTGGTCCGCACGGATGTACCTGCCAGGGACGGGCAGAGCATCACGTTGGGGACAGCAGTGCTCACCAGTCCCCAGCAGCATGGACACCCAGATATATTTGAACCCGGTCTCCTAACTGCTCCACGGCAAAAATTATCTCATCCTCCATTGCAACACAGCGTCCTAGCACGGGAATTTGCTGAATTGCTTGATGGTAATGAGATGGGTTTGAACTGCCTCTAAGATCTATGCCTTATGGGCTGCAAGGGCGCTGCTTTATTAAAATTATCAGTGCAACGTTCCTCTTTGGGTTGTAATTAGTGTCTGTATCAGATAAATAGTTTCATGAACACACTTGGCTCCAAATTAATTTCTGCTTTGCATACACGAGTCTTTCCGAAGAACTGCTTTTCTGATGAACAACTCAACTTGCTGTACAGCCAGGCAGTGGTAAACCAGGAGGGTTTGTTTGGTCAGATCCCTGATCCCACCCTTTAACCTAGCAAGGATAGACCTACCAAGGATGAGATGTGATCCTAAGCTGGTTTGAACCCGAAGCCAAATTCCAAGTGACCCTAGCTGCTGGAGATTTGGGAACTCTTGCAACAAAGCACCAGTTTTTGGTGTCTTCCATCAAGACAAGGTGTTTGGTGGAAGACGGAGGAGAGCCCAACACATCACCGCTCATGGAGGACCCAGTGGGCAAGTTGGTTTTGGTCTGTCACCATCAGCCCTCAAAAATTCCCTGCTGATCACCCACCTGGGAAGCAAGAGCATGGTAAGGGCAAAAATAAAGCACCTGCTGCCAAAGCTGGTCCCAGAGAGCCCCCACGGGACCTGCTCCGAGCTGAGACATAGGCACAGACCCCTGGTGGGCACTTCTGGGTCAATAAACAGACCTCAGGGCGACCGTGAGGGTCGCTTGGACCATAAAATCCACGAACATCACCTCACCTGCACATGAGCTTGTCCTAGCGACCCCAACTCCTAATTGCCCTTTCCAAATGCTGAGACAGCAGCATCACAAGAGCCAGCTCCACCAAAACTCCTTCCAAGCGGCCACATGCCCCGGGAGAGCCTCCCCACCCCACGACACTCACTTGGGCACCCTATCCAGGCTTCCCACGCAGACGTGCTGGGGAGGGACTGCCTTCCACTTCTTGGCTTCCACCACAATAGCGTCTGCATCCACCAGACCGAAGCCATATAGATGGCTAACTGGAAAGAGAGAAGACTCAGAAACCCACCACCTTCCAAGCAGGGGCCAGCAGCTCCTCCACAGAGCTTGGTGGAGCATCCCCTGCCTATTGGAGAAGGCGTGGAGTTGATCCTGTTGGATATGAAGCACTCGGACACATGGAGCTCATCATCCTGCCCAAGTTACACCCCAAATGGCACCATGGAAAACCCATTGCTGGGAGCAGCCCACCGAAAGGAGCAGACAACGCTGCAGCTCAGGAGAGCCTCCACCGAGCAAGGCTTCCAAGCATCTCGCCCCACAAATTACTACCCTCTCCTCTTTCCGATCAACAGCCCAACGGTAGGATCACCCAAGCCAGCTGAGAGCAGACATCCAGGGTGACTGTTCCCACTAGCAAAGCTCTAGGGACCTTTATTTTCCCTTTCATGGCCATTTTCACCACGCCACCTCCGCCCCTGCGGCCCCTCACCTTTATGCCCCGCGCCGTTGGTCTTCCAGTCGGCCGCTCGCAGGTGCACCGGCCGCGAGGTTTTGACCAGCAGATGCTGGACATCCCTCCAGGTAAGCAGGGGGCTGCAACAAGACACGGCTCATGGGATGGCTCTGCTGCTCCCAGTCTTCCCAGCAGCATCAGGGACCCCCACTGGGTTAAAAAACCCCAAAAAAACTTTTTCCTGCTCCAAAAGAGCAAGAATCAATGATTTAAATGCTGATGCCCTGCCTGGAGGTTGGCCATCACTTGGGGTGCCCTAGAAGAGGGGGGTACCCCAGGGAGGGATGCCATGTGCCCATGGGTGTTGTAGGATTTATTCCTGGCCAAGGGTATTTCGCTCTCGTGCTCCACGGTATAACTGGAGCAAATCAGGAAGGTTTTCCCCATTTTCTTGTAGGAGATTGGGAATGAAGCACATCCTGAGGCTGGGTACCAGGCTTGGCACCTTGTTGATACACGATGCTGAGTGAACCTTCCCTTGATAAGAATAACAGCAAAAATTGCTGGGGTAAAAAAACCTGCGTTGCTCATTTAATAGAAAAATTAAAAGTGTTTCCAAAACCCCACCTAAGCTGCGTTTGCATGAGGTTTGTGTGTTCAGGGTGCTGGACACTGAGCGCTGTGTGCTTTTGAGCTCCCCTCAAGACACCAGCCCAGGGATATTGATGAAGAATTTTCCATGCTTTTCTTACAGTCAGTTCTTCAGCATCTTGAGCCGGGATTTATATTGCTCTCAAGCAACATTTAAGAGAAGAAATTAAATTTGTTCCTTCTCGTCAGAATGGAGTGCCTGATCACCAAGGTCTGGTACTTAATGTTGCATTTTATGCCTCAGCTAAACAATTCAAAAATCACATCTAAAGCTCTTAACATATTTGTAAGGAAAATGGCCTCTCCAGAAACATGCTCACCCGACCAGAGGAGAGGGACTGGAGCCGACACGCCATGATTTCCATCCCTGGATGCGAGCGCAGCACTGCCCTGCGGCTTATTCACAGCCTTATTTTTATTTCCACCCCATAAAAATAATAATAGTGAGACGGTCATGAGAAGATGCTCCATGGAGCAGCATGGGGATGCCCAAGGGGTGAGCCTTGTCCCCTGCGGGGCTGCTCCTGGGCTGGGGTCCACAATGGGACTGGGATGGGACCGGGATGGGGACAAGAGGCAAAGAGCAGTTTGTTTGAGGCAGGGAGCGTGTCGCTGCCGGTCACACCACGTGGGTTTTTGACATTATGCAAAAGTAGTCCTTTTCCCCCAGCAATGAAACACTCGCTGAAAACCATCACTTCTACAGACATTTTTCCATTTTCCATGATGTTTTCTGACTTTTTTTTTCCAGGAAGTATTTATAAAACTCCTGTTGGAGCCAGCTGTCAGCAGTTTCAATGCACCAAATGAAAAGCCTGACTTATCTCACCAACCTCAACTTTTCAACAGATGGCAACAAGTGAAGAATTAGCTCAATAAAACACCTGCAGGAAGATTAGATGCAAAACAACAACGCTGTATCAAACCTTGCCAAAAAGGAGCAATTTAGAATAACTTTGCCCCATTTTGAGTTGCTCCAGAGGAAAAAACAAAACAAAACAAAACATCTTTTTTCTTTCTGGTTTTGCTCGCCAGGTACTGAACGTGGAAACATTTCCCCTGCAAGCCGGCGGCGAGGTTACACTTACTTTGCCTCCAAAGCCAAGGCGATGATGCCTGCAACCATGGGAGCAGACACAGAGGTGCCGGTGTGGCCGTCCGTGCAGCGGTGCCGGAGGTCTGTGGTGACCTGTGGAGAGAGGAATTGCAGCCCTCGTGCTGCCGGAGATGCTCCCGGCATAGGCGCTACCCCATCGAGCATCCCAGCTTTGCTTGGGATGCTGCCAGCGGGGAGCTGAGCCTGCGGGTACCCATCCCCTGCCATGGCTCCCATGCCAGCAGGGTGCTCTGAGTCCCAAAAAATGGTCTGCAGACACATTTGGCACATGAGAAAACATCCTGCTTTCATTTTTTCTGTGCTCAAAGGTGCAAAAACTATTTGAAAGGGGGGAAACAAAGGCAAAATTTTGGTATGAGTCAGCTGGAGGAAAAGCCATGGATGGAGAGCAGGGCCGGGCTGGCATGGGTACGCACCCATGGGTGCATGTTGAGCTGTGCCATATTAAACACTTTCTTAAAAGCTCCAGTTCCTGCCATCAGGCAAGAATTTCCATTTGGATGGGGGGAAAAAAAAAAAAGGGAAAAAAAAAAAAGGAAAAAAAAAGCCATTTCCAGCTTTTTCATTTCAGGGCAGAGCACGATGGTTGGGTACTAAAAGCTTGGAGAGAGGAGGTAGGCAAAGAGATGCTCAGTCAGTTAGATTTTCAAAAGGCTCCTGGGTTTTGAGTTAATCTGGTGATTATTTTGGGGGGTGGACAGGTGCCACCCAGTTTCTCCCCAAGGTGCCCCAGGAAGCTCCTTTTTTGCCCAGCAATGCTCTAGCACCACTGGACTAGTGCTGGCCTCAGCCAGGCAAACGCTCCTGAGTGCCATGAAAACGGCACTTGGATTCTGTTTTCTGGCTGGGGGGAAAAAAAAAAAAAATCAACTTGTAAAAAACTCACATTTTTTGTCAAAAATATAATTTGAGTGGAAAACTCCCTCCCAGCTCGGGTAAGGCGGTGTGCTCGTGGGTGATGTTTTACTGCCTGAGGTTCGGATGATTCACAGGGATGTCGGTAATGAAAGGCCTTGCTGTGATGAGACCACAGCAGCTGTTGGGACAGGGCAAATACAGCCTGGATGGCAGGGAAAACCAGGCTGATCCACACATACATGGGTTTTCAGGCAACTCCTGGGCTCCCAAAGTCTCTGCTCCCCATTTGGGGTTGCCACATCCCTGCCCAACACCTCCATCCTCCCTCTTTTCTCTCTGTCTCAGGCTAAAAATCCTCAAAATTCCCTTTTTATAAGCACAGGACAACGAGCAGGCACTTTGGGGGACAGGTAAATATTTGCACGGGTATTTTTGCAAACCTCCAGCCCTTTCACCCATTTACCAGAGAAAACGCCAACCCGCTAAGCTCTTCCCACGGACCAGAGCAATTTTGGCCCCACCATAAAAAAGCACGAGCAAAACCCACTGCAGGGCTAAAGGCAAAGCCCAGCTCTTACAACCGAGCCATCATCCAGCCCAGCCACGCAGAAGACATCCAGTGGATGCCGCCCCACTCGACATCGGGGTAAAACTTACTATTTTCCGCTCGTAAAAAGCCCCGCTGCTGTAGGTGGTGGCGAGGGTGGAGGCACACTCCTCCAGGTACCAGGGCTTGTAGCCGTTCTCGGTGGTGCTGCTGATGGAGATGGTGTAGATGCTGTGGGTGTAGCCGTCGCAGGAGCAGTAATCGCCCTCTCTGCCGCCGTTCCCCGACGCCCAGACGAAAATGGACCCCAAACCCCTGCGGCCCTGCGGGCAGAGAGGGGACAGGGGGTGAGAGGAGGTCTTTGTCCAGGATGAGAGGCCATCTCGGTGTGGGGAGGAGGGGGTCGCCCCCCTCCCAGTGCTGGGATGCCATCGGTAAGCCTGATTTTTGGATCTGAACGTAGGATTTGGTTAGGGTGGAAGGATGGGTCCCATCCTGCCCAGCGCTCAGCCTGCTGGATCAGCCCCCACAAACGTGCCCCTCGGCTCAGCCAGCCCCAGTTTTACAGGCAGCGACTCCCCGCAAGGATGGGAGAGCCTCCGGCGATGGGGATTTTGGCATCTTCAGGGGGGTCTGCTGGGGGAAAACATCTGGATGCTCAGAGCCCCTGGACCAGGCGGTAACACCCAACGCGGCACTTCTGGGGTGCAGGGCTGGCCCTGTGGGAGGAACCAGCAGGGAACCCCCCAAAACCCACATCTCCCTTACCCTGAGCCTGCAAAGCCCCTCACGAACACACCCAAACCACCAGAAACCTTCCCCTGGTCTATCTTTTAGGTTCCTTTTGTTTGTTTTTATTTTTCAATCCCAGCCTTTTCTTCCCTCCCGATCGCTTGGCAGGAACATCTGATGGAGCCGTCCCCACCGGGTACAGCTGTGGGAGCCCACCGGGAACTGGGGGAGGCAGGAGGGGTG